ATTTTACTACTTCCAGTCGATCGTCTCGACTTACAAGAGGAATCTCTAACTTCGTTGATCTCTCTTTGTTCTTTTCTCTCTATACCGAGAAACAGCTCTACACCACTACACCAAGATACACCAAAGAAGATAAACTTACAAGAGAAATAAACTCAATTTCTCTTTTACCACAAGCCACTAAGAAGAAGCCAAGGAAAAACAATCTTCTTCTTTTTTCTTTTTCCTCTTGCCGCAAGGAACTACTGCTTGCACTTTTCTTCCTCTGTCCCGAGGAAGCTCGAAGAAGAACACAAAAAAGCCGTGTTAAATCTGAAGGAGAGCTGTGCGATTTCTTCTTCCTCTAATCACGTGCACAACCCAAAACTGCTGCCTGTTCGCGACTTATAACGAGCGAAGGGATGCTTCGCTTCGCGAAACAGGGAAGGCAGGAACAGTTCGGGACAACAGGGAGCGAGAACAGTTCGCGATGTTTCACGACAGAGGAGCGGTACCGGGCGCGAGGTCACGAACCGCGCTCCATCCTTAACAGTAATAACATTGAATTTCTGTTTCAGTGGATGGAGCCAGCGATAACGAGAATAATCATCAACAAATATGATGTAATATTTGTAACATTGCGGGGAAAGAATTGGGCAAGGCTTCCATTCATTGGAGTTGACTAATTGAAGAGGGCTATTACTACGATGCGTAAACTGAGAAAAACTTAGTTTGCAACTTTTATCTGTATTACAAGAAATACAAGGAGAGTGCCGGAGATTTATCTTCAAGTGTGGTAGTTGTCTTGCTTGTTTATGAATGATGGAGCTATGCAGACGTCCAAGCCGAGCATGCCATGATGGTGTTGTAGTTGATACTGAAGTTAATGATGTGCTGGACCGAAATGTTGTTCTTGGTGGCCATTGGAGAGGGTAGAGTTCGTTGTTGGAGGGGCCCGTTGAGGAGAGTTTCATTTGTCCTACTATCCATGACCGTATGGCCCGATTGATCAAAATTGAAAAATCATCCATTATTGGCTACTAATTTGTGGATTGCAGAAGATTGAATGATAGATTCAAAACATTAAATAGAAGATTTAGTTTGAGCTTACGGGTGGGTGTGGGTAAAAGACTTTGTTCGACATGAGAGATGGGGAGAGATAGATTGTTGCTGCTAGTTATCTGCTAGTAACCATTTTATGGTTGGCATTGTTGAAAACACTGTTAGTTTGTTGAGAGGTGCGAGGTAGCACCGGTGTCAAGCAGCCATTTGGTATCATAAGCAGCGGGGTTGGCGACCAAGGTAAAGTGCGGTGGAGATAGAGCTTTGTAGGATGGATCTATGTGATGCCAACATTTAATTTTCGAGTTGCCTAATTTAAAGTAGATTTGACATATTAAAGAACTGTTTGGTTTGGGGTTGCGGTTGGAGGTGTTTGGAGTGGTTGGGTTGGATCTGACCATAGAATTGAATGACTGACCACGAACTTTTCCACGTTGGGTGTAGAGGGCACTTTGAGGCTGAGTGGAGTCCAGTAATTTTTTTTTTGAAATTCAGTGTCTAAGTTTATTTCCTCGCTGCATAGCAATGAATAAAGGTCGTCCCAGCTGATAGGTTGAAGTTTTGTTCAGATAGCTGTCTTGAAGGTCTGATAAGTGGAATGGAGGCCATTAAGAGTGTAGTGGATGATATTCTCTGTCCAAAGAATGAGCCGGCTGCAACAATGACATTGACCTTGACTTTAATTGAAGCCAAATAATGTGACATGGATTGATCTTTTATGGTGACTGTGGAGATCGTTCTTGAGATGGATTATCCAGGATTGGTTTGTGGATTGAAGCCGATGTTCTAATGTAAGCCAAAGTTCCTTGCAGCTAAGTTTTGGTTCTAAAGCAGTTATAAAGAATGGTTGGGATTGACCTGT